TTTTGTTGATCTGTTCATACTGAACATTGACCCAGAAATGTGTGTAATGAAAACCAGGTGTATCAGTGATGATACATATGTGCTTTACATTCACTGTCATGCACTTTCTGCTGTATATTTAGCTGTAATCTAAAGGGAGYTGAGGGATGCCTGAAATGCAAAGCAGCAGTTTTCTCCGCCTCCGTTCATCATCATGGTCTAATATATCTTTCCAACAAAAAGTTATAACTGGTAAGAATACTCATCTTTAATAAACATTTGGCTTGGAAATCAAAACGTTCAAAAAGTTGTATGCATGAAATGTCAAATCAAACATTTTAGAAACAACATGAAAGGCATCCAAGTTTTAAATGATTTAATTTTATTGATATACTCATTTAACATCTTTGCACCAATTTAAAACTTTCCCATAATCTACGCACTCAAAAATCTATATTAATTTATTTTCAGCTTTGGATAAAGTGATTGTGAAAGAAAGTTCAAATTGAAAGCCTGAATTAAACACAGAAAACCGATCCAGTTCTCAGTTAAGAACATTTATTTTGCACACACATGAGTGACACATACCGACGTTGAGCCAAACATTCCTCGACTTCAGAAACAGTTCGGCCCTGAACAGCATCAGGTTTTCTTTAGGACTGAGTCGCTCTCACAGAAATGACATCATGTCAACAAAGGGTGTGACCTCACCTACCATGTGACTTGGTTCTCATACAGATAGTACTCAACAGCTTAAATATGAGACTTTCTAAAAACTACAACTTAAACACAGTGGTAAAATACAGTACTTCATCTTAGAAATATATAGTAAAGTGATCACACATTGATCATAACATATAAATATAAAAGTACCAAAAATCTTTTCCATATAAAAGCATCAAATGATAATGCATATGAATAGTGCAGTTAAAAACCAGTAACATTTTACTTCAGTTAGCTGAAGATATGCATCAGAACAACAAAACCAGAGAAACCTGCTCCCACTGTGACATAAAGACTGATTATGATGAAGCTGGTAAAAGGCCGTGAAACTGGGCTCCTTGCCGGTCCTGCAGAGTGATGAGATGAGGCCAAGCCCGGTTCTGGCTAAAAGCGTGAGCAAGTACAGCCAAGAGGCCTCAGCTAGTAGCCTTATAACACCTGTGTATTATCATCCTTCCTACACGACGTCTATATGTGTTTCCATTTACAGGTTATTGTTTCGGCTGTGAAAAAGCTTCTTCTTTGTGAGCACATGGACGCCTCTCTCCTCGTGTCTGTCAAAGCTGACAGTCTTTAATAGTTTTAGCGTAGGTCAGCCTCCTGCCTCGCGTGGATAGCTGCACAAGACGAGTCGGGGTACCTGAGGACTGTCGGGCTGCGCTGACATTCTGCAGGGGGACGCACGAAGAGGAGAATGTTAATGTTGCTGCTGTTTTGTGGTCTGTAATTGCCTGTAAAGCCAGATAATAGCACAAAGAACTGCTTTGCAAAAGCAGGAGCTGCGAGTCAGACACCCCCACAGTGACGTGGATGTGCCTTGAGCCAATCTAGGAGAAAAATATCGATTCTGATTGGGTTTTTTTTGTGTGTGTTCAAATGATATTGCAACAGTAGCTGACAGATGTGATTCAAGAGTAGTTGACACCACAGAAAAATGTCTTTTTGTTCATTTAAAGCGATCCAGTCATGGGTGGAAGAGCCCTGCTGGTGGTATCTGTGGTGGTTTGGCTCGGCCGTGACCTCGGTGGATATAATGCTGCGGTGGAAAATGTCCTGTCACTTGATGGAGGAGCTGCCTGTAGCAGCAGGAAGGAGTGTGGCGACAGGGGCCGTGTGTGTTAACCTCTTTTCTTGTCACTTTTTCTGTCTTTCTCTCCAACCTCCCTCCCCCTCCTTCCCCCTTCCCATCGCCACCTTCTTTTTTTTTTCTCCTTCCTCTTTCACTCTCCATCCTCGTTCCCCCAGACTCCACTCCGTCTCCCTACACTCCTCCGTGACAAATTACTCCTGGCGGTTGATTTGTTGGTTGTCAAATGTGCTCCTTGTGCTGAAGGTGTGCTGGAGAAAAAAGAAAAAAAAGAGCTCCAACCCACCACCCCCTCCAGCTGTCGTCATCACCTGTGTCCCCCCACCACCACCATCACCACAGACACACGCACCTTCTTCCATGTGCTGTGTGCTCTCACCAATGCTTGGAGAATTGACATCCTGTCGAGAAAGATCTCATTACATTAGACTTTAGCGAAACCTCTCCCGCTTAATATTTCCAGCTCGTTTTTATTTTGACAAAACTGTTTCGAAGTGTAGCTTGACAGCTTGTGCAAGAGGAGGGGCTTCAGGAGATTCTTTTGTTACTTATGGAGGAGGAAATGAAGGGTGAAGAGTTTGGGATGGCTGCCTTCTCTGCAAAAATACAGCTGAAATAGAGTTTTGTGCTTCTTTGATTGATCTGACGATTTAATAATATAATCAGCCTTGAAGGCTTATTTGCTAAACATGAGTTGGTTTTCAGTAGTTTTACCAGACACCATGATTTTAAAAGGCCACTATCAAAACCGTTTTTCTTATTCATATTCCTGTGGTTTATATTTTTATTGACAGGACAGAGACAACATTCATTGGCCCCATGAAGTGTAGAGCAGGGCTTCCTCTCCCCCCACCTGTTGCTGCAAGCTGTCAGTCAGCTGTGTTTTCTGGCAGAAAGAGGGAATTTCCCTAAACAGTTTCTTTTGTTTAAAAAAAAGAAAAGAAAAAAGAGAAAAAGAAATGGAAATGTTTCCTAGCAAAAAAAAAACCTCAAGGAGTGTTGCAGGAGTAGCAGCTGATTCTTTAAAAGATAACTAATTTTAAATAAACCTTTACAAAAGGCGACCATGACCAATTGCCTAGTTAACATCATTTTATTGCGGTCATTTTTTTTTTTTTTACAAAAAGCAGAATGACACAGAAGAAGTACCATTCTGTGCAGTAAACATGGAACTTTAAAGAGGGGATATTATGCTAAATCAAAGGTTTTGAGCTTTTTATCATGTTATAATGCCATTCCCAAATCAAAAACATACCCATAGTGTTGCTTTCATATTGAATCTCCCATGGCAGCAATGTAGAGCTGTCTAAACGATTGCTGGTACAAAGCTCCACCTATTTACACAAAGCTCCTCCCTGCAGCTCATTCTGCAGCCAAGCTCCAGCCCCACAGAGCACCCCCTCTCCTGAGGCATTGTTGTGAAGATGTGCTGAAGTAGGAGTGTCAGAAAGAGTAGGGGGTTCTTGAAGAGACAGCGGCCWATTTATTTTTCAAATWTATACAGCYTTTTCATGAAACTAAAGGTAACATAGTTACTTCATTGTGGCATAGAATTGAACTAATTGAACATAATACCACCCCCCAACTAAAATGCCCTGATGATCTTTAGTCATTGTGAAAATTTGATTTAAAACAAAATACACCCAGAAATCTTACTTAACGCTGTCAGATACACTGTGTTTACTGCCTCTGAATAAACCAAGATTTTTATTTTGCTCTTCAATATATTAATAGCTGAAACAAATACGAAAATGACAAAGTCATAAAATATTTGTTTTTTTAACCAAGTGACTGACAACACATTTATGCATCAGCAATACATACCTACAAATAAGATCATCTTATTAGCTGTAATGTCCTCATTAATAAAGCAATGTGTGTTTTAAAAATGAAACCATACGTTTATGGTACATTTAAAATGTAATGTCTATTACAGTCGATAAATGTTTTTGTTCACGTTTAATACTTGGTCAGAATGTCATACCAATTCATGCCTGTATTGTACTTTATAATGCGTATTTCTTGTGCAAAGATGATAAAATAAGGACAGATAAAGCTGCTAAATACTAAACAAAATGCTYACAGTAGGAGTTTATGAAAAGGATTTGACTTAAACTAGCCATATAGGAATTGGTTTATCGTATTAAATATCAGACAAATAAAAGTGTTTAGTAACATTTGATCCTGTAAATCCAATACTACCAGAACGCAGTTGTGCTCATTGATTTTCAGCTTTGCCAGCGATGACCTAATACAGTCCCAGATATCGAAGGGATAAACCACCTTAGTGTAGTAAACACAGCCAAATCTCCCAGGGGCTTCTGTGTGTGCACTGTGTATTATGTATTGCTTGATTAATGTGTGCAGAAAGTTTAGTTCCAGAACATTTAAAAATAGGTGAATTAATAACGAAACACTGGTGTTGTTTTGTGTCACTTGGATGCTGCTGTGTTTATAGTTTACACTTGAGCTGATATGATTCTTTTCTGTTTGGTGATTTTATGAGCAACTCTTGTTCCTTCAGCCTCTCGGGCTGTTTGATTCACTAACAGTTTCACTTTGTAAAAGTAATAGAATATCTGTTTTCTTTCAACCCCGGCTTTACAGAAGCTAGATTGGTGTGTGTGTATGGCCATCAAAACACAGAGGAGAGCATTGCAATCCACTTGTGTTCAGAACTCTAAGACCATCTTGTCTCTGTGTCTTTGTTAAAAAGAGGGGTTAAGCTTTTATCCTATAAATATGGCATGAAAATCCCTCTGTCAACCACACGTTCATTCTAAGGCCTGTATTAACATAAAAATGGGGGCTTGTTATACAGTGAGATTTCAATAAAAAGAACACAAAATGCATTTAATGAAATTCAGATGCTGGGCCTTAGCTCCCTGGATCTCATTAAATGAGCTTTGTGCTGTTTTTCCATCTTCTCTTTGTAGAGGAGGTCCTTGAGTGCCCTTAATAATGTGGCAGATTTCATCATATCCCTGATTTAAAGAGGACAATGTCTGTCTCGTTCTCTTGTTCTCTTGCGAACCGAAGCCAATCTCTCCACAGATGTACTCGAAYAGTTTCTGAGTCTGGCTCGTGATGATACTCCATCTTGTGGTGCGTTTTCTTTTACTTACTGAAGTTTTGTTTAAAGGCCCCTCTACTAACTCTTCTTTCTTCCCTGTTTTCTCCCCCCCCCCCCTCTGTTTTTCTCTCTACATAGGATTTGGTTTCATAACTTTTGAGAGTGAAGACATCGTAGAGAAAGTCTGTGAAATTCATTTTCATGAAATCAATAACAAAATGGTAAGTCCACCCATTTTTTTTTCCAATTCCAGGTGGATGTTGAAGGATTAATATTTGATTTGTTCTTTTTCGTACCATTAATAGCTGACCATGTGTGTATAGTGTGTGTGTGTGTGTGTGTGCATAACACCCACACACTCCTTCACTATGTGGGGCTCTGGGTCTCAGGGATGGGAAAGCAGTGGTGTGTACTGCCCACAAACCGTGAAATTGTGTGGCTGAGTTCTGCCTGTCAAGGCTGAGGGACGAGAGAGTGGAGCCTGTCCCGCTCCTCCYGAATCCCCAGCCGCACACTCACTTTAACACACTCACAGGTGGAGATGTCCACGGGTGCAGCGGGGGAAGCTACTGGCAGAGGCCGAGTTCATTAGTCAGGGATTAACACCTTCCGCCGAGTGCCGGTGACGCCAGTTTTATTTACACCGCTTCCACGGTCCTTTCAGAGCGCCACGGAGTTCAGTCGCAGTTTTTGAAGTTGCCAAGCGACGTGTGATTAATTGACAAGGTCCGCCCTCAGTGTGGCGACTGTGACATTAGGCCCTCCTTCACCCACTTCCACCCTGCGGGTCTCTTGAGAAATCCTGCATCATTTGAACAGCTTTGTGGGCTGTGATTGACTGGAGGGAATACTTGTCTCTCCACCGTTCAGTGGGGCTCCTTCACTCTCGCTCCCAGTTTTACTGAAACCGACTGACTCTGAATGACAAGACCACTGTAGGAAAATCATGTTCACCTGGGACCAGTCCAGATCATGTATGCCCCCCACCCATATGTAGGCCTGTCGTGATGAGCAATAGATAATAATCGCATGATAAATTAAAATGAGGTCGATAATTTTCATATGTTTGCTTCTTTGCTGTTTTCGTGTCTCCCTCTTTTCTACTCTTTTGCATAGGGAGGAGTTAACTCTGGCGTCAGGTATTAGCTAGGTGCATGGTCTCGTAACCTCTGTAGCCTGAGAGCTCCATAAACAGATGTTTAGTCAGAGGAGCATCTTCGGTTTTCCGATGCCATCTTACAGAAATGATGATGCCACAGGATGCTCTTAGAACACCATAATAAACCTTGGGTTTGCTGAACATTTTTTTGTACCACTTAAATTTTGTAAACTTTGTGACCACAATTAAGAGGCCACTTGGAAAGCGGTGGAWAGCAATGTTACCACTTCAGAAGCTGTTGTTGTGTATTGTTTTCACAATCTATGATACCGGTTCGTCCGTAACATTACATAAAGTTCATAAACTCTGCATTTTGTGTAAGCAGTGTGAGGGTGACCGCAGTTATTTTATAAAGCCAGAGGAAGACACAAACAAAATAAATGAGCCAGTTTGAATAGAGGAGGTGGGAATCAATGTTATACCTTTAGCAGCTGTTGTTTGTTGTTTTTCCAATCACGAGTCCAAGTCAATCGCTTTATTTTAACAAACACATATTTCACAAACTTCCGTAAGCTTTGTACATCATGAGACATGGCGTCTCCAAAAAATATTATCATTTATTGCAATAATTTCTGAGACAATTTAATGTCCAGCAAAATGTTATTGTGACAGTCCTACCTGTCTGTAAACAACAAACCTTAATGCTGCTTTAAATCCAGTGCTTATAGAAAAGCCCAGCAGAAATTGTGACAGATATAACTATGTGCACATGAAATATTCTGTCAAAACATAGACAAAGCTCAGTGAGAACAAACAAATGTCACCTGTGAATATAGAACAGATGATTTGCTGATTCTTGCTGCCAAAAAGTCACACTTTAAGATACTTAAGTAGTTGACAGATTTGTTTACAATCAGCTGCGACTTGAGATTTCTTTAAACAAAAAAGCATGTATTTACCCAGACTTTTATTCTCACTGTTTCCTGACACTTTTAATCAAAACAAGGAAAAATAAATTCAGAAACAGCAGTCTGCTTTTTGGAASTTCCACGGTTATTTGATAACGACTGGACTGTAAATAGAATTAATTAGGAGGCTGAATATGCTGAATAAAATGTTTAATAACACTAGAATTTATAAAACAGCTTATCTTTCTCTGTGCAGTCCTGTTTTTTGAATAGCTGGGATGATTTTTCAAATTAGAATTGAATCAGATTGTAATGAATTGAAAATGATGTACCAACATACCATACGTAGCAATAAAACACTTTAATAACAATGTGACTAACAGACTCTTATTTGTACAGACAGTATTTTTATATTGGAAAACCCTTCACTCTAACTTTATTTATTTATTTATTTATTTATTTATTTATTTATTTATTTATTTAACCCTTCCCAAATATTACACCTTCTACTTGTTAGATAAATGGGGTGGTGTAAGCATTAGTTCAATTAGAAATTTTAGGTAAAATTGGGAAACCATATTTGTTTATTTATTTAAATAATTGAACGTGTTACTGGGAAGTTTTTGGGTGAAATCTTCAAAGGTAAACATCTATGTTTTTGGACAATTGACATCTTTTGCCAATGTTAAAGAAAAAACACAWTACCTCATTGCAATAGTGTCAGTTAAATAACTGAACTTAAAAGGAAAACACCACAACWTTTAAGAAGAATAAAGTTGTGCTTCTGTTTCCAGACTTCCAAGGTCAAAAGTCTTTTTAAGCCACTTCATATTTGGCTTTTTAAGCAGAACAGCAGGTGGGCTCGGCTGAAGAGCGGCGACAATGCTTCCTGTCTGCTTCACTTCTCTTCTTATTCATTTTCACCTCCCCTTCATCTTGAGGAGTGCCAACTTTAACAGAGCAAATGAGAAAAAGATGAAAATCGAAGGATCGGGAAAAAGTTCTTCAGTCGAGCCAAGGTCATGTCCCCATTCACTGAGAAAAATAAACTGCTCGCACATTTCGCTGATTGGGGCTCGTTTTTGTGTTGAAAATGAAGCAGCTTCTGAAATGTGATGGTCACACATTAGCTAAAGCGATTGTATTAATTGTGACCCGTTGTCRCAGCTTGAACCTGGTCAAAGTCATTACTTGTGGAGTCAAATCGTTCCTGTGAATCCACCCGATTAAAAAGTCAACTAGTTCCTTTAACTTCGAGCATGTTCCAGTTTTAATTCTCCTAATTAAGTGTGCACTAATCATCAGACTCCCATTAGCCAAGCAGAGATGAGGGTGTGTTTGTGTGGAGGTGCAAAAACGAGGAGATACAACACACTACCACACACAACCACACACACACAGTGTGTGTTTCTAGTTAAATTTGTTGTTTTTTATCAAGATTGTTATTTGCCACAGCATTTACCCATAAATCAAGTGTTAATTAATGCTCATAAAATGTGTGGAAGGTGTAATCAGGCATCTGTTGAACTCATCATGTGAGGAAATGTTGATTTTTCCTCTTTTTATCACAATAAATATCTATAATAAAAAAATGGTAAATCTGGATTTTTGATTCTCTGTAACGTTACSTTTCCTAATTTCTGTTAACACAGTTGTGGTTTCTGTCTTGGTCACATCTGACAAACCCTGATTGGCTCACAGCGAATCAGTCACAGCTGCCCCTGGTTTCCAGAGASGATTCCTGGGCCTTCATAAGGACCTCGCTGAGAAGCAGACTTTGCTGGAACATCACTGTCCAGTGGTACAGCTCATGGCTACCAGTGGTGGGCAGCACTAWTCTAAAAATTAGTTCTGCTAGCCCTAAAACACTAACTCAAATATTTAGTTCCCCTAATTCTAARGCACTAAAATRACTCAGTCARCCCCTGAACATTCTTCAACAGACAACATGAMYCACATATTATCATGTTGATCTCTTAAGACTTAYYATTGATATTCCACAGCTGGATTTAGGTTCATATATTGTCACCTTGTGACACACATGAACAAAATGATYGACAGCTTTCACCCTCAGCTGTTAATGTTAACATTGATCAATAACATTTATARACCTCAGTTAGTGCTTATAAATTTAGCAAGTGCTAATCCACTAATACATTTTAAAATTAGCAAAAGCCCTAAAGCACTAATCAGGAAACTAGTTCCCCTATTAGTGCTTTAGGGGAGCTGTGCCCACCACTGATGGTTACACGAAGTACCAACCTGAATTATACTTGCTGGGTTATTTTTTATTTTTCGGTGCCTTAGAAAATCCTCTGTCCCTGTTCCAAATGAAATGAAATATGAACAAAATATTGGTTAAGATTTGTATTTGTGTTGTGATGCTGTTTGTTGATTATTTGAAATTATATTGTGTATTAAGTTGAGCTTTATTACTCGTATTTTGTAAGCTGTTTTTTAGATACATATATTTTTTTAATTGGGGGCAGATGTTTTAAGATTTCATTCTTCTT